GGAGGGCCCGTGCGGAGCTCACCGGGGTGGGAGGCGGGGCTGCGGCAGGAGGGAGGGAAGGCCTGAAGGTCCTGGGAAAGGCAGTGGGCAATCAACCAGCTCGGCCCTTCCACATAGACGCAAACCTCTTCTTTGGTCTAAGAATGGTCAGTACATCCCAGCCACCAGTAGCTGGGATCCGAAAGGAAAACCATAGTTTCTCCCTTCTCAGAATCCTGCGCAATCTGTGGTGAGGTTATAACCAAGAGTGATGAGTGAAGCGTTCATCTTAAAATTATGCTACACAAAAAAATGAAACACCCATCACTTTTAGGCAAACTGAAATGGTGGGCTTCGGTATATGACAACTAGGAAATCTCAAGAAATGGCAAATAGAAAAGAGTCCTAAGAAATAGAAATGGAATGGATAACTCAGTAAATTGTACATCAGCGGTTCTCAACCTGTGGGTCGCGACCATCGGAAAACACATATAGCATATCAGATATTTACATTACGATTCATAACAGTAGCAAAATTACAGTTATGAAGTAGCAACGAAAATAATTTTATGGTTGGGGGTCACCACAGCATGAGGAACTGTATTAAAGGGTCGCGGCATCAGGAAGGTTGAGAACCACTGTTGTACATAATACTGAAGAAAGGTCTCTCCCTTTAACTTGAAGGGTATGAATATTTCAAATGGTGATAAACTACATGGCTTTCAGTATCTTTTAAAAAGGACTCAGAGTAAATACTATATTGTTAATAAAGATTAGGTATATGATGTTCTCTCTGGACCTAGGGAGATACTGTTATCCTTTTTGTATTTAAACAGATGAGGAAAATCAAGCTTAGAAGAACCCACACTTTAAACATTTAAGGTTTGTATACCAAACTGATTCCTGAAAAAACAACCACCACCAAAGTAAAAAAGCAAGTCATTTATTAATTAAATTGCAAATTACAGTGGATAAAGAGAATCACATGGGTATTTGACCTAGACCCTCCAACACAAACATCCTATTACTTTTTATATTGTCATATTTATGAAACAGTCAACATACAGACAGAAAAGGAACTGTTCAATGGTTTGAGTTTTAGGTGGCTAGCTTCAGCAATCCATTTTTTCTACTATGTAATGTTTTCTCTTTTAAAGTTATAAAAAAGCATACAATACACTAATTTTGTGTTTGTGTGTATTAATCCTCACCGGAGGATAATTTTTCCATTGATTTTTAGAGTGGAAGGGAAGGAAGGAGGGGGGGGGGAGAGAAACATGAGATACATCCAGTGGTTGCCTCTCAAACTCACCCAACTAGCTAGGATTGAACCTACAATCCAGGTGCGTGTCCTTGACAGGTAATCAAACCCAAGACCTTTCGGTGCCCGAGCCAAAGCTCTGAACACTTAACCACACCGGCCAGGGCTCTGTTAGTAAGTTTTTATTTTGAAGAATGATTGTATAATTAATTACCCAGGTCATATAATGTTTGTTTTTTAGTGTTTATGAAACTGAAGCCAAGTTTCTTTTTTTTTAACACCTTTAATAAGATCATCTTAATTGATGCCCAATGATGATTTCCTATTGTAACGTTAAATCTTTAACTGCCACATGATATGAGAAAGAACTGTGTATAGGTAACAGAACTTTTGTTTTGAACATTTCTGACATCAACATCCCCTACATCAGACACTCAGCCTGGTATCCATAGACACCTATGGAGTCCATGGGTGAACTTGGGAAATAATAAATCTTAAGTTTTAGTATGTACAAAATTATGTATACTTATGTGCCAACTTTTCTGGGAAGAGGGCCCAGACCATAACATTCTCAAAAAGGAAACTATCATCTCATATAACCTAAGAAAACCAAAACCCAAGTAACGTTTATTAGCAAATATTACTTTCAATTATAATCTAAAAGGTTATGGATGTGCTCGTACTATTTCAATTAACTATTATACAGCCTAGTTACAGTAGGTGAAAATTAAAGACTTTCTGAAAGGAGATATATAGACATGAAAACACAGTAAGATGCTGTTATGAAAACAGTGTGGGTACTGTTTTGAAATAAAACTAAAAAGCCAACAATCTAAATCAGGGGTGGGGGACATCTGGCCCACCGGCCTTATTTGGTCTGGCCCTGCCAAGGCATTAGGGATGATTTAATTAAATGTTTGACCAAATTAGCAACTAATTTTTAAGTTGATAATTTTGTATGGCCTGGGAATGATGTTTTAAATATCCAAATGGCCCTTGGCAAAAAAAAGGTTCCCCATCTCTGACCTAAATACAACTTCATCTTGGTTATTAAATAGTTTACTTACTAAATAAAGAAACTTAAGGACTATAGTAAATGTACTCTTACAAAAGACAAGAATATATGTAGAACTGAATCAAACAGATTTTATTCAACTTTTTAGGATGAGGAAAACAAATGATATAAAATAAGTCATAGAAATGTACTACTATCTCAAACCATTTTCAATGTTTTATAAAATGCTCACAAAACAAATATGAAAAGTTACAACACACTCTTATAACTTCTGCTGCAATAAATGCAACATTAACAAACATACAAATTTCTTCTGTACCAATCTTAAAAGTACAAATACTGAGTTACTAATTTTTGTTATTCATATGTTTTTATTCATAACTTTTAATGAGATCATTGCCAATACATACATTATTTTCCTTAACTTTATTTTTACATTAAGCCAATGTCTGTCATGCAGCCATCAAAATCCTCACAGTAAATTACACAGGTTTGTAGTCTAATTTTGACTCTAGCTTCTTAGAATCAGCCACTTTTCTGACTGCTTTCATGAAGTCTTCCTGTACTACAAAATCATGATCAGCACGAATTGCAAACATACCTGTGGAAAATAAAATAATGTGACTGCTTTATATAATATGTGAATTATCCTATCCTATATAATAAAAGCCTAATATGCAAATCGACCAACGGCGGAACGACCAGCAGAATGACCGGTCACTATGACATGCACTGACCACATGGGGGCAGACGCTCAACGCAGGAGCTGCCCCCAGCCCACAGGCCCCTCCCACAGAGGGAGGCGACCGGCAGCAGCGGCGGTGGGGCCAGCGAGCGGGCAGCACCAGGCTGGCCAAAGCGGGTACCAGCAGGGGCCCTCTGATGGCCCCCACCGATTGCCCTGCAAATTGGCCCTGATCAGCGACCAGGCCTAGGGAACCTACCCATGCTCGAATTTCGTGCACTGGATCTCTACTTTATTATAAGGAAACTAAATAATGTAATTCTATGGAGTACTAGTAAAGTTGAAGAAGCGTAGATTTACTACTTCTGAATCAGCAGTTCTGATCTGTTAAAAATCACTATCACTGTTCAACGACTTTCCAGCTATCATGAACATTATTTTCCAAATCAAAAGCTAGAAAACAAGATAATTATCTGAATATTT